GACCCTTCAGTCCCTAGGCCAAGCTTTATCCACTGAGCCAAACTGGCTAGGATGTACCCATTTCTTCTTTACCTTGAATTAAACAGGGGGACCATCCAGGGCCTGGCTAGTGTCACAGTTATCCTTGGGTACTTGGTATCTAGCAAATAAATACCCCAAGAGCACCTAGAACAAGAGGGCTAGGGAGACCACACCTGGGGTTCTCTGGTTCCATACTTCTGCTACTCAGATCACTGGTGCTTCTCAGTTCATCAAAAGCAGGTCCTGTCTCATCCACCTGTATAATTTTCCCATTGTAGAAAAAATAAGTTCTCAACTTATTTTTCAATTGTTCTCAATTTGAAAAAAAAATAAGCATTTAGGATAGCACCTGTAATAAGGGAAAGACCTGATAAATGTTGAACAAATGAATGAAGAAGAGCAACCAGTGAAGCAACAATCACAGAGATCACCCAATGGAATATTCCCTTTTCTGTGTTAAATCACTTCCCCTGAGTAGAGAGCAGGCACTCTTCAAGGTGGCTCACTTCTCGATTCATCACAGATTTTAACCTTCAAAATAAAGTGCTAAATTCAGTAAGCTGACTTTTAAATACAGGGTCATGTATTTAAGCACCTTGAGTTTCAAATCTGGAGAAAAACAAAGAGAAGGACAAGCAATAAAAAAAGGGTAAGTGTTGAAAATGTGAGCCAAAGATTTCTTAGGGTGGAAGAGAAAGAACCTCTCTGGAATTCAGAAAGTAACTCTGAAAATGAAGGGAACATGGGACTGCAGTGGTAATTTGAAACAAAGTCAAAGTCAGATGTAGGAGAAGCAGGTACCAGAAACGGAAATTCACAGGCGTGGCTTCGAGTGTAACTTTAAAGTAATTCTGTTTTGAGAGGAGGTAAGAACATTGTAAAAGGATCAACTGTCTCACTCATGGCCCAGCCTATGAGGGTGACAAGCACCGGGATGCCTCCCATACATCTGACAAGTGACTTGAACTTGCGTCAGCAGCAACCAAAGGTTCCATCCTTATCAGCCAGTTCCACAAAATTGTCTTCAGGCAGCAGCAAGCAACAGCATAGAACAAAACACCTTTTGCTCCATTTCATTTTGGAGATGCAGTAGTGTGGTTTGTGGGAGACACCACAGCAGTACCAGTAACAACCAAGGAGCAGTTGACACCAGATACTTCTCTTCCTTTATCAGGGTGGGGAAGGGTAACGAGGGGCGTCCTCGAGGCTCCACCCTTCTGAGGAAGAGGAACCAGGGTAGTTTAGAGGGAAGACTGAGAAGGGGCTGACTCCACATTGACTATCCCTTCATACTCTCGAGCCTCAGTGTTCCCCCTGCCAGTGGGAAGAGTGTGGTCTCTGTCAGGCCGTCAGGGGCCGGTCAGAATGCCGCAGTGGTTTATGATGTCAGAGGCACATGACGGTGCTTCTAGGAAGCTCTCGGCTGCACCTGACAGGAATTTACTCACATAAATCCAAGTGGGTGAGATTGGGGTGTTATGAAGTCCACACTCATCCGGTTCTGTGGCAGACCCTTTTCAAAAGTTGCAGGAGATCAATGCAGGTCTGAGGTCAATGTGGGGGCTTTGCTCTGAATGATGGCGTTTGTTTCAAAATGTTGATTCTTACCATGATCAATCAGTGATATTACTGACCCTAGTTTGTAAATAAATAAACTGAGATTTATTGACTTTTCCATGAGGTAAGAAAGAAACATGACTGGAACCCAAGGCCAGTTCTTGTGATAATAGACTATCATTGAAGCAATGAGGACGGGGTAATTGAAAATGATAGACACCTTCTCACATCCATGAGGGGACTTACCCAACTTTGGAAGTTTCAAAATTAGTTATTAATCATGGCCAGAGATAAACTATAACAATTATTTTAGGAATCTAATTCTCAAGTAAGTATACTAGCCAATTTAAAGAGATTTTTAAAGTAAGAAAGTCCTTCCTATTGATCATGTATTTACCATTTCTGATGCTCCTCCTTCCTTCGTGCAGGCCCAGGTTCCCATCAGGTATCACCTCCTCTGTCTGAAAGGTGTCCTTTGACAGTTCTTATGGGGCTGGTGTACCAGTGGTTCATTCTTTCAGCCTTTCTATAGCGGAAAAACTCCCTGTTTTTATAAGACAGTTCTGCTGGATATGGAATTCTAGGTTGGCAGTTTCTTTCAGTAGAGTTGGCTCTCCTTATCTATGGGCTCTGCAACCTCAAATTCAACCAACTGTGAAAATATTTGGAAAAAATGTTACATTGTTGCTGACATGTACTATGTAGTTAGGCCTAGGATGTATCTGTATTAAACATGTACAAACTTTTTTTTCTTGTTATTTCCTAAACACTACAGTATAACAACTATTTACGTAGCATTTACATTGTATTACGTATTATAAGTAATCTAGAGATGACTTAAAATGACCTGTTGGCGTCACCTATGGTTAGAGCTTTCTACTGAGAACACAACCCTCCATTGAGTGCTATGGCCGGGGGTTCAGACAGACAGTGACATCTATGTCACTCTCCCCCAGGACCTCACCTGTGGGATTGTGCTCCATGGTAAGTTCATTCACTCCATAGAATTTCATAGACATTATTCTCCATTTGAAAATGTTAACAACAACAACAAAAAGACACCTTGAAATGTTTACTATAACATATCATGATGTATTTTGTTGTAAATTTTACAAATTCTTTAAACAGGCATTCATCTTCTGTACTTAGAAAAGGGTTTACATTCATAGTAAAGCTAATCACTAAATAAATATGAAATACTGCATACCACTGTGTATCGCTGAAGTAGTTCAACCTACGGGAGACCTGTACCAGTAGATGGCTATGGTTCTACCAGGGTCGCTGTTGACTAGGGCGCTAGTGGTTCTGCTACCTAGGAACTGCCTACACAGCAAGTAGCTCGATGTCTCATCCAACTACCTGCCTGAAAACTTCTTTCACAGCGGATTAGTCATTATGCAAAGGCCTTCAGAAATCAGATCCTTTTCAGTGTTTGAAGTCCAGCTCCCGGAACAGAGCTGAGTAGTTTCCTTCTGGCTCTGCTAATCGCATAATTCCAGTCCTGCCCGTTCATTGGCAAAGCAGGGCCTAATGATGTCCCTAAAGTGGCAACATGGACTAAGGTGACTTAAAATAGCTTAACTTAATTCATAGACTTCTCATGATGATGTTAACAGATAGGGAGTTTGGGCAAAATTAGTTAAGAGGGGAGAAGATTCCAACAGAATCACAATCTTTGGAATAAATTAGGTGTTTTTCCCAGGTTGGTTGCTGTATGAACATAAGTAACAATCTCAGAAATAAATTTTTTAAATTTTCATTCCTCTTTTCTAATTTTAAATTAGGATGGAAAATAGTTTTAGAACCTAGGACTTGCTTAGCAGGAAGTTTGGATAAGCAGCTATTCCTACCTCAGGAACGTCCAGCCCACCAACTTAGCAGAATCCTTTTGGTCCACTACTAACCCTAATTTTCATTACTGTGTTTGTTTTAAAATCCTGCAAAAGCTTCCTTAATTTCAAAAGATGACCTGTAAATTTTCAGTTTTAAGAGAGGTAGTTTTGTTAGAGGACAGACACAACAGAAATGATAAAAGTATTCTAATTCAATTTTAAATATATTTAATCAAAATGACTTCATTTTCGGGACAGTCCTTTCAATCCTGTAGGAGAACATACACCACAGTTTTGTGTTCATTTTAATGGCAGGCTGGTGGAGGTCTTTCAGAGGCTTGTATCTGGACATGCCCGGCAGCTCACAGTATTTCCCAGCAGCACTCCTGCCAGTTTGTTATTCGTTTGTCCTGGTGTGCATGTGGAGGAGGACATTTCATGCGGTTCAGGAGGTCTCTCACTTTATGTTCCAGGCTGGTTTCTTACTGCATATGTCTCAGAATGAAGCGCTCAGTCTCAATACAATGCCAGTTCTACCTGGATTCTACAAAGCTCTGCTACCAGTACTTCTGAAATTCTGGTAAGATCTCTTTTCTTTCTTTTAGTCACTGAAATAGAATTTAGGCATTCCTATGACAAGAAATGCTTTTAATGTTCAATCCCCCCTTTAGTGATAATTATCGACTCACTTCGGAGCGTGTCTTGCTGTGAAAGAGATATGTCTACTTTACCAAACAAACCAACAGTTCTGTGAGGGCAGAGGAGGAGCGAGTCTGTGTTTTCTTTATCAGAGACACTGAGTCATGTCTATCCATCAGATGAGATGGGGAATGAAATCAGAGGGGTGGGATCCACCAGACCTTTTTAGCATCCCAGCTCTTCTTGTAATCATCCTTTGCCGGAGGGGAGGAGGGAGTGGGGGGCGGGCGGAGGCTGCTCCTTCGAAGGCCCCTCTTCTCGCCTGTAGCTGAAAGTCTCCCCGCGGGGCAGGGGGAGGAGGCTGCAAGGTGCTGTCTGCACCCACTCAAGGGGGTATTATGTCAGTGTGTGGCTTTTGTCACATAAGGGACCTGTTAAACATAGAAATAGTTTTTGCTCCCTGCACCATCTTCCTTGTCTTCCCTCTCAGTGCCCTGGCTCTGCCTGTTCTGTCTCTGTCTTCCTTGCTGGACCGTTCCCTCAAATATCTGGAGAGCTCCAGTTGTCCGTGTTTAGTAAGAGTAGTCATGATTGGAGGAGCGAGAGTCAAAGCTGACGGGAAGTTCTGTGGTTGCCTAGTGGTTCTCACTTAAGGTAGGAGTCGGCATTTTTCCTCTGTGAAGCACCACATAGAACTTAGGCTCTGTGGGCCATCTGGATTCTGTTGCAACTACTCCACCCCAATGTGCTGTACTAGTGTGTCCTAATTGACAGAAGCCATAGACATCCTGGGAATGAATGAGTGTGGTTGTGTTCTGTGAAACGTTGTTTACAGAAGTGGGCAGTGGGCCAGGTGTGCCAGCCTCTGGCACAGTGCCTTGTCCATGCCCTCAGCTGTACCCAGAGTTCTTGAGAGCAGAGCCTCCGCTTGTCAGTTCCTTAGAGAAACCTCTCCAGTCTTCTGGGGCTGTGGGGGTCTGGGTGGAGGGATGTTTGGATTTGCAATTGCTGGTACACACAGATGGAGGGAGTGGGATGAGAGTTGTTGTGAACACCAAGCCTGTGTCCGGCTTTATTCTTTAAAAAATAAAAATAAAAAAATTATATATATATATTGATTTCAGAGAGGAAGGGAGAGGGAGATAGGAACATCAATGATGAGAGAGACTCATTGATTGGCTGCCTCCTGCACGCACTCTACTGGGGATTGAGCCCGCAACCCAGGCTTGTGCCCTTGGCTGAAATCAAACCTAGGACCCTTCAGTCCATAGGCTGACACTCTATCTACTGAGCCAAACCAGCTAGGGCCAGCTTTATTCTTTAACTTTCTTACAGAGTAAATGGTGCTTCTAGATCCTGAGGGCTTTAAATACCAGCTGGCTTCCTGTTGACATCCTATGAAGCAAACTCAGTTCAGCTCTCTCCCATTACTCAGCCAGGGACCACTCATCCACCTCCCAAATTGTGTTATCAGTTTATGGTTTTGATTTTCTTTGTTCTCATGAGTTTATAACTTTTTTCCTTTCAAGTCATTTTGGTGGGATTTCAGGAGGATGTCAAAGCATCATGTGTGTTCAATCTGCTAGTGTAGCCAGAATCCTCCTGGGAAGTCTTAAAATGTTTACAAAGACCATGGGGAGAATGAGGTCAGGAGAAGGGAAAAAATAAAGAGAAAAGAAAACAAGATGGGGAAAAAGAGGTCATGGAGATCAGAAAGTAAAGCTTTTAAGTTTGGGGGTTTTTTCCCCTTCAAACATGGAGCAATGAAATGTTAAAACATCTTTTACTTTAGACTTTATTATGTCAATATAAAAAGCAGTGAGAAATAAAATAATAAATACAGTGAGACTGGAGCAGAAATACAGGGAAGTTTCTCTAATCCACTTTCTCCATATTTCCCTGAGAAGCCAAAAAACCACACTAAACATGAAATAGGACTTCCAGAGGCCATTGCTTCTGACAACAGTGTTATTTCTGACAGTAGAGCAGTCTCTTACTCCTTCCGCGGGAAATGCTGAGGCAGGAACCACAGTGAGGTCAGATGTGGAGAAATCATAGCTTTAGGATGGCCCAGGGCTCATCACTGCAGCACCTGCCAGGGGTCATTACATCCCAGCCACACAGAGGGAGCACCCGGTTTACCAGAGAGGTTCCGAGTCGGGGTTTCCTGTCATTGCAACTAATTGTACACAGATAAAATACCACGGGGCTCTCTCAGAACTAAAGAATTGATTTTTTAAAGTGCTGTTCTTTAGAGAAAACAGTGTTCCCAAAACAAAAGCATAGCATCGCATCACCCACCTCTGCCATCCCCAACGTGCACATGCGCACACATGCAGACCCCTTCACCCCAAACTTGCTGTTTTCCCTGGGACAAGTTCTATTACTTGACTTATAGTTGAGCTAACTTACAGTTCTAGTGTATCTGAAAGCTGACTGCAGAGGGAGTTGGAGGGAGATGCTCAGGAACTGTTGGCCGCCTCAGTGTGGGGCTGGGAAGGTCTGCCATGTTTCTACTCCTGTGTTGTCACATCCTCAGTGTTCCTTGATTGTGAGGAGGTAGTTCAGTTTGACCGTGGGGCTTACTGGCTGTTGTCGGAAGGGCAAGAGAGAAGACAGGGACAAGCTCATTTAATCTTCAAAATCAAACTCCCGCCCTAGCTGGTTTGGCTCAGCAGATAGAGGGTCGGCCTGCAGACCAAAGATCCCAGGTCCGATTCCGGTCAAGGGCATGTACCTTGATTGCAGGCTTCTCCCCGGCCTGGGCCCTGGTCAGGACTCATGCAGAAGGCAACCAATTGATGTGTTTCTCTCACATTGTTGTTTCTCTCTGTCTTTCACTCTCTCTAAAAGCCAACAGAAAAATATCCTCAGGTGAGGATTAACAAAAAACAAACAAATAACAACCAAAAAACCTTCCTTCCTTCCTTCTTATTAGATGATATTACTGAAACAGAGGCGTTTACTAACTTGCTCAGGGTCACCATAGAAAGTGATGAAGCCAGGAGTTGAGCCCAGGCAGTGGAACTCTGGAGCTCAGTCATCTCCAGGGGGACCAACATGCAGGCTTCATGCTGTTAGAGGCAGGGGACCCAAAATCCTCAGTTTCCTGTCGTGCTGAAAATGAAAGGCACAGACAGAGAGAATGTTGATTGATTTCTATTTCCTTATTGACTTAGGATGTTAAGCAACTCTTCATGTGCTTATTGGCCCTTAATGTATCTTCTATTCAAATTCGTTACCTATTCTTTAGTTGGGTCATTTGTCTTTTTTTGTTGTAGAGTTGTAAGAATTCTTTATATATACTAGATTCTTATCAGACATATAATTTGCAAACCTTTTTCCCCATTCTGTAGGTTGACTTTTCCTTACCAAGGAAAGGAAATGTAAGCTGTCCTAGAATGTAAGCTGTCCTTTGATGCACAAAACTTTTAATTTGATTATCTAATTTATCTGTTTTTTCTTTCATTGCTCAAGCTTTGGTTTTCTATGTAACAATCCATTGGAATTTTGATAGGACCCATATTGAGTCTTCATATCGCACTGGTGATGTTAGCATCACAACAATATCTTAACAATGTTAAGTGGTCCAGTTCCCCCTGATTTTCACAACACTGCCCCCTCCTTTTCACTCAGATCTCAGCCTGACTGTCTCCTTCTATTTTAATTTCTCGCATAGTACTCACCACCATGCTGTACTGTTGTTTACTCCTTGGGTTGGCTACTTCTGCTTGTCTCTGTCCACTAGAATGTAAACTGTTGTTATGCAGGATCCTGCCCTTTGTTCTCTGCTTTGTCTCAGCATTTGGAATCGTGCCAGCACTTAGTAGATACTTGATAACTGTGTGTAATGATGAGTGAATGACCAGAATGGGTTTGCCAGGGAGCTGAGCAGGAACAGTGCTCTTCTGATCGAAAGTGATGGCCATGACGTTTTCCGGACATGCAGACACTGCAGACTAGCCTTTTCTGTCTTCAAGCCCTAGGCTCTGCAGTTGGCTGCACCCTCACACATTCTGTGTAAGAAAGGTGGTGGGATTGATTTTCACAGTTAAGAATTCACGAGCAGCAACTACGTGTTATTACATGCTTACGTTTCTCTCCATTTTATTCTAAATTGTGCATTATCCACCAACCTATTACTACTACTAAAAGCTAAATTAAGTAAAAGTGTGTTTTGCTCCTTCATCTAGTCTGTAATCCCTGTGGGAAGGTGAGCTATTCGAATCAAGAGGCTTCATCCTAAGCATGTCCATCCTCCCAGTGATGGTGCACCAGCAGCCTGCCTGGACAGGGCTTCTGCCCGACCCCCATCTCCTGTTGTTCAGAGAGCAGGCACCACTCACCAGGGGCTGTCTCCTCTCACTCAGCGACTCTCAGCCTGCACAGTGTCAGAGTGTTCTGGACTTGGCCCTGAGTGCAGAAGGAGGCATGCCATGTAGCGTGTGGGCAGCAACAGGACAGACATGCTGAGGGGCTGGCAGCAGGCCTGAGTGAACACAGTGTGTCTGAGACTGAAGTTCAGGTGGGGACAAACCTAGACCTGAATCTGCTAACACAGCAGAATATCCCAACAGCATGTGTTAGCAGCGAAGCAAAGGCCAGGCGCTGGGAGACAAAGGCTGGAGAAATGGGTGCTTATTCTGAACCCGGAGTGAAGCTGCATCTAAGACCCAGGGACCTTGCAGGACAGGAAGCACTGGGTCAGCGCCCCAGCGCCCACTGGGAGAGGCAGCAGGTTGGTGAACAGCTGACTTCTGACTTCTGCTCTCATCTCACCTTGCTCAGGAGATAGGTTAAGTGCACAAATACACCTGGAGCCAGGAAGATGCCGAAGCCCATAGGCGCCAGCCAAGTCTGCTTGTGTGGTGGCACAGAGCTGGCCTTCCTGGAGGTGCTCACAGTGACCCTGAGAGGGCAGCACAGCCCTCATGTGTCTACGAGGACGGTGGTGTTCCTGATCTCCGGTCCTATGGGAGTTCAGGTTCTAGTGGTGTGCCTGGGAGGGCAGACCCCATCAGTCTGTCCTGGCTTGACTGTTACGCACTGTGCGGAAGTTGGAGTGGAGGCCTTGGTGAAAGCTGCCCACCGCTGTCTCCCATGCGCCCTCACCCAGGTCCCTCCCTCTGCTCCATCGTGTCCTCCCAGCAGCCCCTCTGTCCTGCCAACTCCTCAGGTGTCTTACCCAGAGGATTGTTTCACCCAGGGCTGGATTAGCATAATTGGAGAAAACAGTTTTGTTTACTCTCTTGTTCAATGAATTGGTGAGTGCAAGAAGAAAGAGTGAAATGGAGAGTATGTGTTGACACAAAGGGGTGTAGGAACAACCCACAATAGATGAGTTCCATCATTTGCAACCTGCTCACTGGTTTCAGCGTAGAGCACGTGGCAAGGATTGGTTCACGTCCTCACCGTGTAGACAGCATAGAGTGTCTCCACTCTTTATCTGCATAGCTGGTTTTACTTGGAAAGGAACAAATGTTTTAACCAAATAATCTTTTTAAGAGGATGTTATAAAATGATTTGGGTAGAAATGAAAATGTATGGCTTTCTCTTTCAAAAGGGTCATCTGTTGGCCTCCCAGGAGGGCAAGATATTTTTACCTGAGCTTCCGAGCGCCCTTCTCTCCTATTCTCTGAGAGTCCTTCTCTCCTGTCCTGTGTGCACACTGTGCCACCCATTCTCTGCGCTGGGCCTCCTGTGCTTACTGGTCAGTACTGTGAGTGGAAGGAGGCCATTGCGGACCTCCCCTCAGGAACGGAGTGCAGGTCAGGAGGACTCACGGTGCACTGGTTTGACTACCACGCACAGATTGTCGTTTCCTGGGTGGATAACTGAAACATTGTCTGCAGGCTCCAGAGGAAACTGCTTGTGATACATAGATGCAAATGAAAACCAGGCTCTAACCCGGACATGGCGAGAGCTCAGGATGGGTTTGAATCTGTACACAATAGACCCTTTCACACTTCAGGGCAATTGAAATGTCACATAATTCTTAGAGCATAAAGTGTGGCTTGTTAATCCCCACAAACGTCTTAATGCTCTTTGTGCCGTGAAGGAGATGGAATTGGAGCAGGGCCCCGCCTGCCTCCCATGTGTGCCCTGCGGCACCAAGAGCACACTGGGGCCTCACAACCCCTGGCACAGGCCTGTCCAGAGTGTGGGGAATAAAGGAAGGGGCCCAGCATCCTCAGGGGTTGGAAATGTGCCACCAAGCTGATAATCGGAGACAGTGAAGGGGTTTGGATGATTTCCTAATTAATCACTATTGCAGTGTTCCTAATGACTAATATCTAAAATACTCCTACAGATCAATAAGAAAAAAGGTAACCCAGTGACTCCATCCCAATAGAAAAATGGTCCAAGATCCAAACAAGTATTTACAAAAGAAGTTGAAAGGGCCAATAAATGAGTAGAAAAAGTCCAACCTCACAAGTTGCTAAAGCAATGCAAAACAAAAATATGGTAACATATACTTTTTTGGGCTCTACAAGATGGCAAGGGGTTCACCTCCCCAAAATGTCAATGCTTAGTGTTGGCGAAAATTTGGGAAGCAGATTCACTTGTGTGCTGCTGGTGGTGAAATGAGTAGGCATCCCTTTCGAGAGTGTGACTCTCATCTCTTAGCTCCAGCAAGATGTCTATTTACCAGGAGGACTCGTGGGTCTCTGTGGGGCCAACTCCATCACCAGGCTCCCACAGGAGAAAAACTTGGACACACCCACATGTCAGGTAGCAGGGACCCTCTGTTTCCTGATTGTGATAATTTATTAATCATGCTCCTATGGAGGAGTATGTGGAGTATTCCCAGGTGTTTGCTCCTGAGAACAGAGCTGTATTAGAGAATGTATACAACATTCCCCGTGTGTCTGCAGGTACACATTTGCCATTTTTCTCTGCTGTCTTAGTTTCCTGGAGCTGCCAAGATGAAGTGCCGCAGACTGGGTGGTGGAAAACAACAGATACGGATTCCCTCACAGCCTGGAGGCCACGAGGCCAAAATCGAGGTCCCGGCAGGACCATGCTCCAGGGCAGCTCCCTACTTGTCACTCCACTTCCAGTGGCTCCTGGGGATTTCTGATTCCATTACATAGCATTTCTTGGAGGGCACAGTTCCAGAATGGAGGGCAGATGAGCAGTCACCAGGCGTTAGGGATGGGGTGGGAGGGTAGTGGGCTATAGAAGGGATCTTTGTGGTATTGGAGGCATTCACTGTGCTTGGGGGACACAAAAACTATAATGCGATAAAACTGTAAACACAAATGAATGTAAGTAAAATGGAATCTGACTAAGATCGGTGCACTGCGTATTCTGGTTGTGATCCTGTGCTATCATTTTATAGAATGTTAGCATTTAGTATTAAAAAGTGAATTTATTTACCTCCATTTACGTTTATGTCTCTTTGGAAGAATTGTTTGCCATTAATACTAAGTAAGCAAGTGAATGTATAAGCAGATCTTGTTGCCCCTCCCACCTGGAAACGCAGCACCGCCTGGCTCATCAACAAGCAGCTGGAATAGAGCATCGGTGCTTGCTGTGGCCCCCCTGCCCTTCTGACTTTTAATAAAGGCTCATATTCAGCCCACTGCAGGTTAGTATGTGCGGCGTTTCCCTCCAGATGAACAGGGAGAGGCCTGGCATCATCCCTCTGGTTTAGCTGCTGTGGACAAGTGCCCATCTAGATAAGGACCCCCTGCCCCCAGGGTTCCCCAAAGTTCACTCAGATGCCATAGAGCCAAATACACCCACCCAATTTGGGGACAAGCCATCCCACTATGTTTATTCCCAGTGGATCATAAACGGATACAAGCTTCACATTAGTTCCAGTTTCCTTCTGGAGGTGTAGGCCATTGTAACTCTGTTCTTCTTGCCTGTCTTCCATGTGCCGCGCAGTGCTGTGCAGGGTGGATGTGCAGGGGCTGCTGGGAGTGGAGAAGCCTGACCTGAGGCCCGTGTGGTTTCTGCAGTTGAGATCAGATTCCCCCAGGGTGCTTGACCTGCCCCCTCACCTCCCAAATTGCCCCTGTGTCAGTAGAATACGTTGTAGGCATCTATAGGCCCTCTCAGTGCCTATAGTGTCCAGGGTCCCTGGGCGGTCAAAGTCCTGAGCAGGGAGGCCCCTGCAGAGGGCAGGGGGTCCTCAGGCTTATCTGATCCCAGTCCAGGGGTGACTCAGGGACATGTGGGCTTTCAGGATGGCCCAGAACCAGGGTGTGTGCCTAGAGATGCAGCTTCGTCAAGCAGAGAAGGAACACACTATCTTCTATGTCCCAGACATTTGCACAGATTATCACATTAGTTACCTCACAAATCTAAATGTTAAACTTGATTTTACAATTTAAGGAGTAGTCTTAGTGTGGGCATCTAACTTGCCCAGATCACAAAGAGCTAAGAAGGGGCAGAACCCCTGCACAGATGATGAATGACTGGTTATGAGAGTGAGTTACCTCTGCAACCCCTCAGCTGCTGCTCTCTGAGAGGGTGCTGCCCCCCAGCGGCCCCGGAGCCCAGGCTGCTCCTTGAAGTGCTGGGCACCAGGGCTGGGCTCCTTTCCCAGGGCCGCTCCTCTCTGCAGCAGCGCCCTTGTTGGTCTGCCCTGTGCTTCTCTCTTCGTTGTGCTTGCTGTGTGAAGGGCCACTCCGTCCCTCTTGTAGGGTAAAAGGCTTCAACTTTGGGCTGTGACTGCCAGAGGCTCAGAGCCCTGCTTTTGTTGTTACAGGGTTTATTTTGTTTTAATTTATGGGTTTGAGGTCCTGTTTTAGATGACCATAGTCAGTAGAAATAGTTATGCTATATCTATGTCATTGTAAGGTATATCCCAGGGGTGGGCAAACTTTTTGACTCGAGGGCCACAATGGGTTCTTAAACTGGACCGGAGGACCGGAACAAAAGCATGGATGGAGTGTTTGTGTGAACTAATATAAATTCAAAGTAAACATCATTACATAAAAGGGTACGGTCTTTTTTTTTTTTTTTTAGTTTTATTCATTTCAAACGGGCCGGATCCGGCCCGCGGGCCGTAGTTTGCCCACGGCTGGTATATACCAAGCTTTACCCGTAAAAATAGTAGCAATGGACCCCAAGCCTCTTGTTCTCACCTTCCAGTGCTTTTGACTTCTGCCTGGTCATCTGGCA